AGGACGACAAAAAAGCATCTGAAAAAGAGTTTTAAATGATAAGACCGATGATAGAAGACGGTTAATTAAATAAACAGCAGCCTGAAAAGCATAAGACCAATAATGAAGCGGAAGGGATGTAAAATGGAGAAGGGAAAGGCCGGTTTCAACAATATGCCTATGGCATCGTTTTGCAATACCATTATGTTCAGGTGTGTGAGAGACGTAATGATGAGAAATACCACATGAATTAAAAATTGCGATCAACTTTTGATACTCACCCTCATTGTCTGAAAAAATAGAACAAATATTAGTTTGGAAGAAATTTTCTACCAGCTTTTTAAACTGAGGAAAGAGAGTGTACGTATCAGACTTTTCTTTCATGGGATAATAAGTTACAACAATAATATTTGATTTTGTAAATTAAATCTTCAGTTGATATCCTAATCCTTGATACACCCATGCCTTGATCAACTAAATTATCTTCTTGTTTGGATTTTTCTCTGTAATGGCTTTAGACTTTGCATTATGCTGCTAGGGCTCGATGGGATCAATATATACGATGTTAATATAAATATGATAATGGAGATTGCAAAATTTTTTGAAGTACTATGTTTTGACATTTTTTGGGTATGAGATTCAGGCCACAACTGATATAGATGCATCTCGCTAAGTATTGCTTTAGTCACAGGACTTGGAATATATCAAATATCCCTGGATCATTGGAGAACTAATTTTTAAACCGGCACTTTCATATGAACTTGATGAAAACTGGCGGCTTTATGTGGTTTTTACACTAGAATTTTCTGCTATTTCGGGTAAAATATATTCTCTATCAAGGAATTCATGTATCATTAGACTGTTGTTAGCTTAAGTTCTATTGGGTGTGTTTGGCTGCATGACATTAGAATTACATTGGAGATGAAAATCTTGGATCAATTGAAATTCTTGGTGTTCTCATTCAATCTCAAATCCTTTGTTCGGTAGAATTGTGGAATTGATCACAAATGCAAATGTAATTCGAAATCCTTTATTTCGGATGTTCAAGTAAGTAAATTGGGTTTGGAATTTTTTTTATTTACTTTCTTAAATATTATTTATTTTGGATTATTTGAACTTTGTAATTTATATTGTGTTAAAAAAATTATCACGTTTAGAGTAATATATAGATATGTAGAACGAATATTATTGTGGATAAACAACAATCAATTTTATTTAATTAAAATATATTTTCCCTTTCAAAATTATGGAAATGTATTGTGTATATTTTTTAGAAAACAAAGAGGAAACTCTTTAATTTATTATTTTATTAATTTATGAATTATTTAAATATTCACTAAACTGAACAATTTTGGTTGTCCTGTTACTTTGCTGAAGATTTACTCTACTTAGTACTACTTCAGTTTTTTTAAAAAAAAATAAAAAAGCTAAATAACTGAAAATTTAGCTTACAAGGCTTTTCGGTTGTTGTCTTTGCAAAGCGTACTTTTTTTATTCTTGATCAATTTCTTGTTGGCTTTGATTTTATACACCTTACACTTGTAAGTTTTTGCCATTCTTTGAGATTCTTTAGAGAGCTGTATGATGATTTGTGCTTGTGAAAGATGATTTAGAGTCCATATGGAAAATAAAGGACATATTTCAATTGTTTCCTTTGTAAGTGTTTGTATCATAACGATTTTTCCCAGTTAGCCTTTTTCTTTTCCATTTCATATCTAGAGGAAAGTAGGATAAGTATTCATGGGCCTAATTTTTATTGATGAAATGTTTGGAAATTATATCCTTTCTTAAACTAGATGCAAAATATAGCAAGAAATGTTTTATATATATAGGAATTAAGCCGGTGAAGAATGAAGATAAATCACTGACAAAGTGGCACATCCAAACAACAATCCATGGTCATCCAAACAACATTTCATGGTATCAACTGAGGTAAAACTGGTTATGATGGGGGAAAAGAAGCAACAAGGTCAACTGACATGGCCGAAGAACAGGGCAGATGGTTCTCTTACTACAAATTTTGATTGATGGAAACACCCCATCAACCCCATCCGTTGATTACAGAAAGTGCTCTCACTCGAATGAGCAGATTCTCCTGAGTCCGCAAAATGAACTGCATGCCAGACATTCAACATCTAGTTCATTTCGTGAGTGTTTTCAATTTCTCATTTACCGCAACAAGTTCTGCCGCAATTCCTGGATCATTTGCAGAATGTCCTGCATCCGGAACCACCTGTCAAGCAGCAAACACATTATTGGCTGGACAACTAACGAGCGATAAACCGCGCCTTTGGCATTATACAGGAACTTGCTACTTTCTCTATAATGAAAAGTAAATGGAGGACCAACAGAAACCATCATAAATAAAATGAGCTAATCAAGCTCGATTTCCATCGTCAATAAAACAACACGATGGTAACTTACAATCAATTCTGCGTCAGGCCAAGCTTTATGAAGATCCCATGCCGACATCATGGGACAGCAAACATCATATCTTCGCTGAAAGAAAAATGCATTTCAGCAACTCTCGTTAATCGAACATAGAATGTTCTCAGCAAACCTTATTGAATTTCCAATCAAAAAATAAAAAGGCTAGTTCAAAGTTAAACAACATCTTATCATCAGTAAGGAATCAAATTATGGCATATCTGGAACCACATCAACAGTAAACTAGATATGCCACCGCATCAACAATAAACTATGTTAAGAAAGTAAGTGCTAGAGTTCATCAACAGAAGGTAGCAAATACCTGAATGCCAGATTTCAAATTGGGGGTTCAAGCCCCAATTCCATGCAGCCGAGCACAGCTTTAGTGAGGTTTTGAAGTAGTTGTGCCATATTGAACAGTTGAGAGGATTACGAAATGTTTTTCTTTTCAATGTTCTTCTCTTCTGCCCCCGTAGATCTTTGCAAAGCTTCAGATGTATTATTATAAAAATTGGCCAATGTTTAGTGCAACATGGCCTCAATTCAACTACTCTACCAGAATTTGCGGATCCACATCTGTTAGAATAATATAACTCGACGTATTGGATACTTTAGACGTGTTATCTTCTTTAAGGTTTCAGATGATTGGCGCGTGATGAGCTCTTAACTTGTTAGACAAAAACCAAATATCACGAAGGTATATCAAATCTTCATGCAGCGGCCAGCTGCCTACCTGGAATGTACAGAATTTAGTTCTGAAGTGCTTTCCGTATTCAGGGGAGCTTTATGTTTTTACAGGATGATTGAAATCTACAGAATTAAAATTTTGACAGCATCAGGAGGACCATGCCTTGACCAATAACATCCATTACGCAGCAAGGGCCTAATGGAATCAACAAAATACAACTGCCGAAGTGTTTTATAATTAGTTCATTACTAAGTTTTCCTTGAAGATAATCCTAACTTGTAGAAACTTTGTCAGCGTTACGTGTCCAGAATCTTATCAGTTCCAGGCCGCAAATGACATAGAAGTTTACGGCTGCATTAACAAATTACGTACATGATAGGACTTTACAAATGTCAATTACCACTAAACCAGAAGTGCGTTTAGGCCCACCGAACATGTTCTGTTATGGAATTCTATTCAACAGAAAACAACAATGCATTTGAAATTCGTTGCATGTTTCTATAGTGGAAAAAACCATGTCATTCGGTTGTATTTATACTAGTGATGTCTGGTCGCGCAATGCGCGACCCTGGCCCAGTCTATCTGTAGATCTTAGAAATGTTTATATTTGAAAAAAAATAAAATTTTGTATTTGGAGCGATATATTTTAGAAATATTTGAAGGATTTAGAAATGTTTTATAAGTGTGATCATAAAAATATTTGTATTTCGCAAAAAAAAAAATGTATTTCGTCATGTATGTTTTAGAAATGTTATATAAGTGTTACTTATTAAATATAAATAGTCTTAATCGAATATATGTGTTGAAGTAAATGTTAGATAAAATATAAAAAAGCATCCTAATAAATTTAAATATTAGTAAGATGATTTATTGATATTCTCCATTAGTCGTGTCAAATCAAAACTTAGTTTTGGAGATTTTTAATAGCTTTGTAATAAGCGTTATCCGAAGGGTATACGCTTAAAACAAAATTGATACTTTGTAACAAAAAACTTAATTGATCAATTCAATTTAAAAAACCACTCTAGTTGAATGAAACATAAAGAAAAAATTAAAAAAAAAACATGTCACGTAGAGTGCAAAGGGAGATTTAGTAATTTTGTTATGGTTAGAAAAAAGGGCAATTTAGTACTTTCTACATGCCACGTGGCAATCATATGAGGTGTTTGAGAGGGAGGTTTTTGTTTCTAATATAGTAGGATATACTACTTGCCAGAGTCAAAGTCGGAGCACATTTACGAGAAATTGGTGCAACTACACCAAAAGTTACAAAAATTGAAGTTGGACGACTCTGAAGACAAGAATTGATTTTCCCCAGAAGAAATATTCCCAAATTTGTTAATTTCTGCCTGCACATAAGGAATGGAATGAATTATGCTTGCCAAGTTGCAGCAATATATCAATTTTGCCAACAAACAAACATTATACTTACTATATATAAGCGCCTTAATGAAACCACTCAATTTCAGTGTCGCTGAATGTTCAGTGATTTTTATGAAACTAGTACTGGCAAACATATTGAAGAAGAGGAGGTAAACAAACAAAATTCAAAGCCCCGAAAACGATCCCTCACTCTATATTCAAGGCGTTGATTCACATTGCCTCTAATCCAGTTTTTCACGAACGCACGAAACACATTGAGATCGACTGTCATTTCATTCGTCAGCACATCCAATCAAAACTCCTACTTCCCCATTCTGTTTCTTCTACTTCTCAGTTGGCTGATTTTCTCACCAAGGCACTGGGACGTGATCAGTTTCATTTGATTCTTTCCAAGTTGGGCATTCTGGATCTTCATGCTCCAACTTGAGGGGGAGTATTGAGATATCTTCCTACTTTATAGAGATAGGGATAGATTTAATCTTTTCCATATTAATCACGTTGTTATATCGGTCTATATATGAGTCTATATATGACCATCTCTTGTATCAATTTTCCAAGAATGAAAACATCTTTTACCATACTGTTTTACACACTCAATCCTTGAGAGTAGGGAAGATACGAGAAGAACGCGCCAGATTTGGATGTAACAGAAAGCCATTGATCGGCCAATGCCAGTGCTGCCCACTTGTGGATGCGCATCCATCAATCCAAAACCATTCCCATCTGCCATTTTCAGCGACTTCCTTCCAGAAAAGCATTCCTGATTTAAAATCCTTATAGAAACAGGTCATCTCATCGGTCTAAACACAACGGGTTTTTTTATACCAACGAGGCGATCCCCCAAAGAGCTTATTTGTCAATTCACAAGGCAGCTTCTCAATCACACACCAGCCACCATCTTCTCTGAGCTCCCGCACGTAAGCATCATTATACTCCCACCCAATGAGCAACAGCTTCCCTTTTCTCGGCCCCAATGCTGCATCCCTCGTTCCGGTAGGAAAGCGCAACTCCTTCCATGTGTTTGTGGTGATCTCCAATCCGGTTAGGCTATATCGTCCCCAGCTGTGTGGGAACGTTATCCAGTGCAACACCCCATCGGAGTACACACCCGGATTACCTCTCCTCTCATTTAGGCTCACCGAATAATTCTCTAGCACGGGACCGACAATCGCCCAGAAGTCAGAGCGTGGATCATACATTTGTGCTGTGAAGTCATCTATGTGCGCTCCGCGAAAATAACTCTGCTCCGGCCACCACATAAACTCGAAAATCGAATTGACCCGAATCCATTGGTAATTCCTCAACCACACCCACAGCTACATGGACACTTCCGAGCTGATGATGCCATGGGCCTGGGCCCCGGCAGGCGCCTGAATTCCCGGGTAAAATGGTTGCATATTCCTAATTCAATTTCACTCCGGTCAGCGGACCAGATCAGAATAAGATTGTCGCAAATTGAAGAAACAGGTTCAAAGCGGGTGGGAACGAAACCAGTGATAATACGTAGTTCCGATTGTTTTCAACTGGGTTTTGGATGGGGAAGGCCTGGTTGCCGTCCTGATTTATCAGGGTGAAGAACCAGGCCGGATGATTCCTGCGCCGCCGCCTCGACTGGGGCGTGTCCTCTCGTCGCTCTATTGTTCTTCTGAGTTGTACTTTGTGATTTTATTTGATAGTGCCTTGCACCTCTTACTTGAGGTTAGCATGATACCACTTAGGGCTATATGCCTCTTTTCCATGGGAACTTGTTAACTTATGAATATTTGAAATTAGACGAGTCGACATGATCTCTAACATTAACAGTTCATTGTGTGAAAATGTGACTAATTTTTAAATTATTCTTTTTGGGTTTGGAAGTTGCTTAAAATTGATGTTCAACAATGTACGAGACGATCTCTATCAAAAAGTCGTTGTTACAAATTCAGAAGCAATAAATTGGATGTCCTGAAGATTGTTATCTATATACTACATTCCACTTAAAGATTGTCATGGTTTTTCAAGATATATTAATTTATAGCCTAATCTCTCATATTTCTTTGAAAGGTGCCATATGCCTATCATGTGCTTTTTCCCGCGCTGCAAATGGTGTTGAGAATTTCAGTGTCCCAAAACCAATAGAAATATAAGCCATTTTTTAAAATCTTAATATTCCATTGTGTAACGTAGACAAATAATTTTTTATAACTGATTTGTAAATATCTTAACATGTGACTAAAAATTTTAAAATTAACTAATATTTATATCTAATTCGCACCTTCGATTTTTAAATAAGAAATATGAAAAGGATTTCTAGCTAGTTTATTTAATGCATTATTTGGTCATATAAGAATTCTTGAATAAATTAAACATGACTCCAAATGAACAGTTGTCGAGTGATTAGTGATTAATGGGAAGAAAAGCTTTAAATAAAGTGAAACTTTCTGTGATTGGGGGCTTGATATGGTTCAACATGTTGGTCACACAAAGAATAAAGCTCCTGGCTATATTAGTGCATAAAAATTATAGGACTTCGAATATGTAAATTAGAAGTGAAGCATTAGAGAACTCATCGTGTCGTCTGATCTGGTTTTCAACCAGAAGTTCGTGCTATGTCATGCCAACGCCGAAAATGCTAGTGCTTAGCGTATGGAAGTTGTCCGCTTATTGTTGATAGTTTAACTTAGAATAACACTGCATTCATTCCACTAAAGACTACTCTATAACAAAAAGATTCATCATGATGCAATTGTATTTGTATGTACTTGCAACTTGCATGGAGTCAATGTTATACTTAAACGGTACATATTTCTAGAGAAATTGGTGCAACAGCGGCAGAAGCCAAAAGAATCGGTTTCGGTGACTTTGATGACGAAAGTTAATTGTCTGCAGAAGAAGTATCCCGAAGTTTGTTAATTTGTGAAGGTAGGCGAATGGAAAATATCATACACGTGAAGGTGCGACAATATTTCAATTTTCACCACAATAAGAAATGCCTTAGTGGAACTATTCAGCTTCAGTTTATCTCACTTATTGAAATTAACTTGTGCTAGCAAACATATTGCAGAGATAAACAAACCAAATTCAAAGCCGGGGAGACGCTTCTTCTTGCATTCAAACCATTAGAGTGGGGAAGAAATCAGAAGAATGCGCCGGATTTGGATGTAACAAAATGCCTTTGATCACCAAATTCCAGCGGTGACCACCTATCAATGAGCATCCATTAATTCAAAACGTTGTTGCATTTGAAAAACAGTCGGATTGAATTAATATATTTCTTTTGTTACCAATGGATAAACTAAGTGCTGGTTTGGTGTGGTGGAGGCATTGGAACATGTTAACATGGAGGTCACTTGTTCGAGTCGATGCCTTTGTTTTTTTGGGGATATATTATTATTACATAGAGTATCTTATTTATTTATTTCGCTGGGAAGACAAATGGAGAGCAAGTGATCTGGTGGTTCAAGCTTCTCCGATTCCCATAATTTGGTTTGATCTGGTGGGGGCACTGGAACATTTGCCTTATTGCGGGGTGTTGAGTTCGAGTTTTGCTTACCCATAATTTGGTTTTTTTCTTTTTTTCAAAGGATTCCAATCCATCTGCCATTTTTGGGACTTCCTTGCAGACTTATCATTCCTGATCCAACACCAGCAGCATCCTTATAAAAGCACACATTTGTTCAACCAGGCGATCCCACTATGAGCTTCCAACTCAGTTTACAGGGAACCAAACTATCATTCAGTCTTTCTATTGTGGATTAGAGACTAGTATAAGAAAAAAGATTCATGATGCAATTGTATTTGTATGTACTGGAAGGAGTCAAAGTGTTATAGGAGAATATTTTTTAAAGAAATTGGAGCAAGGGCGCCAAAACCTACGAATGTAAGACAAACCAAATCCAGAGCCCCGGCTTCTTGAATCCTTATGAGTCGGGGAACAGATGAGAAGGATGCGCCAGATTTGGATGTAACAGAAATATCTGCTGATGATTCCGGGGCGATGAGCATCCGTCAATCCAAAACCACTCCCATCTGCCATTTTCGGTGACTTCCTTCCAGACTATCATTCCTGATCCATCGTCGTTATAGAAGCACACCATCTCATCGATCCAAACGCATTTGAATACATAACAACCAGGCACTCCCCCAACAACTTTTTCCACAATGCAAAGGGCACATTCTCAATCAAACACCAGCTATCACCTTCTCCGAGCTCACACATGTATGCTTCCCCTTCAGTCTTCAGACGCGTACTCAGTAAGCATCAGCTTCCCTTTTCTTCGCCACAATGTTGAAAAATAATGCCTCTTTTCAGTGGGAAAGGCCAATTCCTTCCATGTATTTGTGGTGATCCCCAGTGCAATTAGGCTATATTGCGCCCAGCCGACTGAAATTATCCAGTACAACACCCCATCGGAGTACACACCCTGATCACCGGTCCTATAAATTAGGCTCACTGAATATTTCTTTGGTACGGGACCAACCATCGTCCACGAGTCACTGCTGTGCTGTGAACTCAAATTCATAGCTGTCAGCGCTCCGCGGAAAAAATACGCTGCACCGCCCACCACATAAAGCCTAAAATGGAATTCACCCGAGTCCACCATTGGTAATTCTCCCACCACGCCCACAGCTACATGATATCTTCGGAGCGGACAACACCCTGGTAATTCCCTGGGCCTCGGCAGGAGCCTGAATTCCCGGGTAAAAGGGTTGCATATTCCCAATTCAAAGTCACTCCTGGCAATGAACCATAACAAAAGAAGGCCGTCTCCGATTAGAGAAACCTGTTCAATTTGGGCGGGAATAAAATCAAGTGGTAACCTGTAGCTTAGATCGTTTTCAAGCGGGTTTTGGGTGTAGAAGACATGGTTTCCGGCCTGCCACATCACAAGATGAACCAGGGCTGCTGATGCTGCCGCCGCCGCCTCTCGGGCATGCCGAAGTAGCCGTCGGGACATCGGTTCCAATCCCGGCAGACTGATTTAGCACAAGCTAACGCGTGAGCAGGTAGGAAGGAGAAGATTTGGGCCAAAAAATCAGATGGAATATCATTCCACATGATTATTCTTGGCGAAGCGATTGAGAATTTTTTCGGTAACGTACTGTGGGTTTAGGTATTTTTAGGCATGCTATAGATCGACTATCTTTTTTCTTTCACCCCTTCTTTATTTTTCTTTAAGTCCTGTATTTTTGTGATTTTAATTTACATCCCTCGTACGTTCCAAAAGTATATTCCAGTTTGAATTTTTATTTTAGTTCTGAACTACAAGTGATCATAGACACCGCCAAACAATGTTGGATCGTGTACTGTTGCATTTCAAATTGATCTTCGGTGAGCAATTTCCCCAATCTATACAGCATAGGATTTGGAAGCAGGATAACTCCTTGATCAGTTGCGATAGTGGAACGGAAGGAGGATTTATGCTTGTTATAGGGTCGAAGGAGGGGATAAACAACACACCCAAAAACTCAAAAAAAAAATGAATAATTAGAAGGAAAATTATAAAGTAGGATAACGGACAAGTAGTTATTGAGAGAGGAATATTGGAACCGATTAATTAAGAAACCTAATGTTTCGAAGGCAAATTCTTAAAATTTAAAAGAGGCACTAAAGTGACCAAAAAAGGCAAGACTAATAACAACAATCTGTCGGATGTTTAGTTCAGTTGTACCAACTCAGACAATTGATTCAATTATTTTTTTAAAGCAAGAAAAAAAATTGACAATTGATTCAACTAACCGTGTCTATTGTGATACAAATGTGTTACATATATATTACAAAGAGAACCTATTGTAGAAGGTTCTAAAATATATATTGATAGTGGAAGATGCTATTTTAGCGGACAGGGAGAGATGCGAATGAAGCAGAGAATTGGAGCAAAGCAAAGTGAAGATGTATATTAAGAAGGGAACATGAAGCAACCAAACTAGAGTTAGCATACTTGTTATGGAAATTTCCACACTTGATATGGATGAACTTAATTGTGTTCTTTGTGTATCCAAAGCCTAATATCACTCCCATTTTGGTTTCTTCTGATATTCTAATAAAATGTTGAATATTTGTATTATATGATGCCACTATTTCGAACAAAATGCACTGCAAGTAAAGATTTTATCGGCCATTCTTTTTAGCATAAATCTCGGTTTTGGTCCCCAAAATTTGGAGGATAGCTTGATCCAGTGACCATTAATTTTTTTTAACAAAATTAGTCCACTAAAAGTTTCATCTTAGCAATTTCAGTCTTTTTAACAGATTTTTGAAAAATTTAACGGGAGTTGTAATTCTTCCGTCAAATTTAGAATATTTTATTAATTTTTTTTGTGGGACCCACGGGTCTTTGACCCCAAAAAATTTGATTTAGTTAGACTCCTCCCTTCACCCTTCTTACCTTCTCCTTTCTTCCACCTGAACATCACCGCCCACTTCTCCACCAAGAACCACCACCACTTATATACGCAGACCACAACTCCTCCACCTCATACCAATCATCACCCCTAGTTTCTCACAAAAATCGAACACAATCAAGAAGCAAATTATAAATAACATATACGAGACTTTCACCAGAAAAAGGAAAAGAATACATTGCAAATTAGAAAAAAAAAATTGTACATTTAAAGAAAAATGAAGAAGAAAGAAAACTTTTACAAGATAATATCCATCAAAATCAAATCTGAACTAATTTTATTAGGATCAAATGCAAAGTGTTCACTAATCTAAACCGTTAGAATTGCTAGGGAGAAAAAAAAAGATAGATGTTAAGGTGTATTATCTTGTCCCTCATCACCACCGTGAAGAGATGTGACTCAGTACATAAGTTCTAAAGATCACCCCACTCATTGACAGTTGGTTTTGAGATGGATGGTCAAAGTACTTATATACTTTGACATGGTATCAGAGCGGTCTGGGCCTAGCGGTAGAGTTCTGGGCCGGAAGTAGCCTCTGGTGATTTTATATTAACCCACTTGAGTGTTGACTCGTGGGTTTGTTGTGGATCGATCCAACGGTATAACTGATTTTCTCCCACTAGAGTATTAACTCGTAGGCTTGTTGTGGACCAATCCAGCGGAGTAACTAGTTTTCACCTACTAGAACGTTAACTCATGGGTTATTCTGTTCTTGTTCTAATCCAAGTTCATTGGGTAAAAAGTTTAAAGACTCGTTGGACATAAAAGAGAGTGTTAAGCTGTATTATCTTGTCTCACATCACCACCGTAAAGATAATTGACTTAGTATATAAGTTTCAAAGACCACCCCACTCATTGTCAATTGGTCTTGAGATGGGAGTCGAAAGTACTTATATACTTTGACAAAAGAAGAAAACAACCATCTTTTTCTATTGTAGCTAGTTTAGCAAAAAATGATTGGAAAAAATGTAGATTTTCTTCTCCCAAATAGGCACTGTCTTTTGAAACTTGGAACCTTTTCGAGCCTCTTTACATTTTGGGATTTGGGGGCGGAAATAATATGCCTTGTTTCAAATGAAGTGATGATTTGAATATGGGTTAGGAAAAGGAGGCGGCGCCGCGTAGGAGGAGGAAGGAGAGCGAAAAAAAAAAAAAAAGGTGCCATTATCTTTCTTTCTTTTAAATTTTTTTTTGGTCAAAGACCGGCAGGGTCCATAATTAGTAGAAAAATAATAAAATATTTCAGATTTGACGGAAGGATTAGAACCCAATGAATTTCTAAAAAATATGTTAAAAAGACTGAAATTAGTGAGATTAAATTTTTAGGAAACTAATTTTGTTGAAGAAAAAATTTAATAGTGACTGGATCTAACTACCCTCAAACTTTGGGGACCAAAACCGAGTCTTACCCTTCTTTTTATCAGCTTAATAAGAAATTGGAATCCAGACTTCCTGGTGAAAATGAACAAATGATATTACCAGCCTTCTCCAATATATTATTTTGTTGGAACTTGGTAATAGTACACCGTTATTTGTTTAGGCGATCAATCCCTTTAAGGCCAGAGCCATAGACCAAAAAATTATTTTTATCCACATATTTTTTTGCAAATTTTTTTGGCCGACGCACCCAAGAGTAAAGGTCAACCCTGTTGTTCCAACTTGCAAAAACATCTTATATTTTCCTTCGTTACCAAGTTAGCAGTCACCTAAAACCAGTGGCTTGACATAAATATACAGATCCTACTTCCTATTTTTTCTACTTTTGTTTTTCTTTTTTGGATCACTGGATTGATTAGGTTATACAGTACCACATTCATCAGGCACATACTTCTGTCCAAAATTATGAAACTGAAAATAGTACTCTATCCGTTCTAAAAAAATAGTTCACATTGAGTTTTGAGATTTATATTAAAAAACAATACGAATATGAAAATTTTACGTGATTTTTCTTTTTGTACAGAGTGAATATATTATAACTCTTTTTCAAGAGTCATACTTTATGCAATAAGCATAAAGTATGACAACAAAATTAACATAAACCTTGGTGATTATGAACTATGTTAAAATATAAAAATGATGTAGTTGAGGTCTTGCTTCGGAGGAGTAGCATGACTTAAGCTTTATGGGATTATGGCCCATTTCTCGTACCTACAAAAATTATAGCAATGGTGTAGTTACAACATTTAGTATGGGTGGGGGGGTGAATAAATTAAGAAAAGATTGCAATTAAGGTGATTGACCGAGAAATTTAAACTCTAATACTAACCTTTGTTCTTATCCTGACAAATGCTGGCTAAAAGTGCCTAGCAGGGCCTAACATGCGTAGATTGCGAATCAAAAAGCGAAGACAAGACAGATTTGGGTAGTCCAATCTATAATAATAATAATAATAATAATAAGAACAATTCCGATTATAACAAAAACCATATTTTCCTTAAAATTCCAAATGTCACACTCTCTTTAAAAGTTTCCTCACTCAATACCCAAAAGATGCCCATTTAATTTATTTAATTTATTTATCAAAAAAAATATGTACTGCCCGAAATCCAAAAGATGTCCTTTTAATTTATTTAATTTATTTATGAAAGAAAAAAACAAACTGAAAAATCGAAACCCATGTGATGCTCATTTAATTTATTTAATTCATTTATCAAAGAAAAGAAAATAAACTGAAAAAACCGAATCTGTTCAAATGCATCTGTGACTTCCAAATTCCAACTAAACCGAAATTCTTCAGAAAACTGACTTCCAAACAGTTACTACGTTTTTTATCAAATATTTTTCTTCCAAAAAAATAGCATTAAATTTATATCTAACTGCAATTCTATTCATTAAAGGCTTTTCAATTACTATTCCACGTTTCAAATAAATGCACAACCTCTGTCTCTCCACGGTGAGTATCAAATTCTGAATTCATAAAGTATCGTCCGGTTCATTTCGAAAAAAAAAAGATTTTCTCCCTATCATGTAATTAGATTGATATAATATCCTTCTTCTTCTCCTGTAAAATTCAACATATCTTTATATAAATTATTACCGTTGATATCATCACTCTTGAAGTTTGATCGCTGTAGCGACTATCAATGAGTGGTTGATTGGTAGAATGGAGGAGAATGGAGAAGAGGATGATGATTTTGTGTTTGATGATGGCAATTTGACATGGGCTGCAATGAGTAGAGCTTCTGGAGCAGATGAGCCTTTTATCTCCTTAGAACTCCAAGAATGAGAAATGAGGAGTCAAGTACATCAAAGAATAATAAAGGAAAAATGTTTCATCTTCGGGTTCGGGTTCTAAGCAATCTCGTATGTTTCCAATTGATGAAGAGGAAGAGGAAGACATTGGAATGTCTTCTGCTGAAGAAGAGGGAAATGGTGATTTGATCCATGAGGTGGAAGATGAGGAAGAGGACTTTTAGAACCTAAGAGAGAGACTAGGAATATTAGATAACTATCATTATGTTTATGGCTATGTCATATTCTTGCTTTCTTCCTTTTTTTTTTTAGGTGTGCTAGCCTTTTATTGTGCATGACGTTATTTTCTGAATTTTTTGTT